TTCAGTTATATTTTATTTGCAAATTCCGAGCGAAGCAGTTTCGTAACGGAGAACAAATTCCAGAGCCAATGGTAGTCACAAAAATTTTGCTGCTGTTGTTGTTGTTGTTGTTGTTGTTGTAGCGGCTACAACAAAATTTTGCTGTTGTTGTTGTTGTTGTTGTTGCTGTTGTTGCTGTTGTTGTTGTTGTTGTTGTAGCGGCTACAACAACCCCGCCCAGATCGGTTGGTATCTCAGTCGTTGTCGTCAAGTTCCACTAACGGCAACCCTAGGAAGCGTGCAGCTTCTGTGGGATTTGTCCACAGGGACAAGGCCGTTAGGGTTATCGGGTTTTCCGGGCATGCGAAGAGATGGTTCGAGTCATGTGGGGTCTCTCCGCATGCCGGACATTCGTTCGGCACATCCTCATTCAACCTACTCAAGTAGGAGTTTAACCTGCTGCAGTAGCCGGAGTGAAGTTGTGCGAGTGTAGTGCGTGTCTCCCGAGCCAGATGAAGCTCTGTCTCGTCTATGTCCGGGGGTGGTATGCCTAGAACGGCATTCACAGGTCTAGAGTCTACATAACTCGAGACTGAGTCCCTGTGAATGCCGTTCAGGGCCTGTCTGTACGCTGTCGGGTCCAGAGGTTGCTTAATGAACCTCTGGACTTCGTCCGTCAGTTCATATAGATGCCTCCTGACGTGCCTAGGCGAGGGCTCCTCTGCAAGCAGCTGTCTGCCTGGATGGCCACTTCTGTGGCTCCCGACCAGGAACAGCTTGCAGAGCATTATATTATGCTCCTTAACTGGGAGCATTTGCGCCTCGCCGTGCAAGTGGTGTTCAGGCGACATCAGGAGGCATCCCGTCGCTGTCCTAAGTGCCGTATTTTGTACCGTCTGTAGCTTCGTCCACTGCGTCCTACTAGTCCCTGGCGACCACACTGGCGCTGCGTAGTTCAGAACCGGCCGGACTATTGCCTTGTATGTTGCCAGCAACGTTTCTTTGTCTTTGCCCCAAGTACTGCCGGCTAGCGATTTGATGACCTTGTTGCGGCTCTGTACTTTATTAACAATAGCGGTTGAGTGCGCAGAGAAGGAGAGCAGGCTGTCGAATGTTACTCCGAGTATTTTGGGGTTATTCACCGTCGGAATTGGTGTGTCATCGACGTGAATCCCCAGCGGTAGCCTGACCTCCCTCGTCCAGGTTGTGAACAGGGTCGCGGAGGATTTCGTAGGGGAGAGGGCTAGACACTTTGCAGTGAAGAAGCGAGAAAGTTCGGAGAGATAGCCGTTTACTTTCGAACACAGGTCATCAATTCCATTCCCAGTCGCCATGATCGAGCAATCGTCGGCATAGGAGACAATCGAGACTCCCTCTGGTGGTTGAGGGAGCTTTGAAATATAAAAGTTAAACAGTAGCGGGGAAAGGACACCACCCTGAGGAACCCCCTGTTTTATTTTTCGCTGCTTACTCGTTTTGTCTCTAAATATTACCGACGAATGTCGACCACTCAGATAATTTGCCGACCACTGTTTGAGCCTCTGTGGGAGAGAGGAGGCCTCTATATCTTCTAGTAGCGTGGAATGGCAGACGGTGTCAAACGCCTTTGACAAGTCCAACGCTACTAGAATCGTTCTCTCACAGGAACGGTTGCGGTTAAGGCCACGAGTTATCTGAGTGTTTATGGCGTTAAGTGCTGTTGTTGTACTGTGCACTTTACGGAAACCATGCTGATGCTTCGCTGGGGTCAGGTGGTTTGTGAAGTACGGGAGTAGCAAGGCCTCTAGTGTCTTCGCTACGGGGGAAAGGAGTGTAATCGGGCGATACGAATCTCCTTTGTTGGCGGGTTTCCCCGGTTTGAGCAGTGAGACCACTCTCCCCACCTTCCAGATGTGTGGGATGATGAGAGTGGCCATTGACAGGTTGAGGACCTCCGTTAGGTACGCTACCCCCGCAGGACCCAAATTTTTCAGCATCAGCATGCATATTCCGTCGGGGCCCATGGCTTTGGAGGCTTTCGCCTTCCCGATGGCCACCTGAACTTCACCGCAAGTGAAAGCAAGGGGGGCACAAGTTGTTGGCAGTTTGTGCAGCCTTCTGGTCACTCGACGCTTGGCTTTGTTCACCGGAGGATGCAGTATGAACTGCCGGCTAAAATAGCTCGCGCATCGCTCCGGGTCCGACGAAGCATGGTCGCCGAAGGAAATTTCGACTCTGTCGTCGTGCTTCGTCGGATTAGACAATGACCTCACGGTTGACCAAAGCTTGCTCACACCAGAGTTGAAATTACAAGTCTTCAAATGCTCCTCCCACTTCTTCCGCTTATGTACGTTTACAAGTTGCCGAATCTCCGCGTTGAGATCCCTGATACGGGGATCTCCGGGATCGGCCTGACGAAGGCTATCACGCTCATCAGCTAGAACAGCCGCTTCGGCAGGGAAGTTTGGACGTGGGTCCGATATACATCCTGCCGGTATGAAGCGAGCTGCAGCAGCAGTGATAGCCCTGCGGAACTTACGTTCATCGAGATGGACGTCGGTTGGTGTGGGGAGCGCTGCGAAGGTGTTTTCGGTAAACTCCGCGTAACCTTTCCAATCAGCTTTAGAAAAGTTGATATAGGTCCGGTGTTTGGCGGAGGCAAAGTCGGTTGGTTTATCAATCGAGATGACTATGGGTAGATGGTCTGATGCTAGAGTCAGCATAGGTCGCCACGTTATGCTGTTTATCAGACCAGCGCTGACTATTGTGATGTCTGGCGAGCTACTGCAGTTACCCATAATCCTGGTGGGTGCGTCGTCGTTCATTGTGCAGAATGTCGAATCGTCTATCTGCTCAGCCAAGTCTGTTCCCCTACGATCGTTTGACAGGCTTGAGTGCCAAAGATCGTGGTGCGCATTAAAGTCACCTACTACCATACGGTTTTCACCTCTGAGGAGCGCACCTATATCAGGGTGATATCCTGGCGCGCAGCAGGTGACAGGGGGTATGTATATGTTAAATATTTCGAGCTCGACATCGCCTGACCGGATAGCGATGCCCTGACATTCTAGGGTGGTATCCCTGCGGTCGATGTCGGCTTCGATAAGACGATACTGCACGGTGTGGTGCGTGATGAACGCTAAGCCACCACCATTATCTCGCTCGCGATCTCGACGGTGCACGTTGTACCCGGCGCAATTCAACAAAGTTGAATTGCTGTGCAACTTCGTCTCTTGGACCGCAGCTATTAATATACCATGCCGACACATGAAGACGGTTATCTCCTCAATCTTGCTCTGTAGCCCGTTACAGTTGAATTGAAGGAGCTTCATGTGGTTCGGGAGACGTGTCGTGATGTGGGGTGTAAGTGAGGTGTATGTTCTTGCCGCCGTTGGCTGTGTGTGCTGCTGAGGTGATTGCCGCCCTGTGGTGGTGGTGGGGGGCGTCGCAATTGAAGTCTGCGACCGAGCAGCGCAACACGGGCCCTCGAAGTTCCCCGTCCAATCTCGCGTGGTACGCAGACCTGAACATGCCCTAAAGTGGCACCAGCCAAGGCAGGTGTTGCACTTGACTGATGTCACATTACGGAATATTCTGGTCTGACATACCGTGCAGATTGTAGGGGGAACCAGGAGTTGTTGGCGGCGGCCTGTGGGTGGTGGTACGGTTGTGTGTGTTATGTGGTCTGTGGTGGCTGTGGTACGGTCTGTGGTGTTATTATGTTGTTGTGTTGTGGCGACTGTGTGTGGTTGCTGTGTGAGTGTGTGGGGCTGCACGGGCGGACTATGGTTTGCCGTGGAGGCTGCTCTGTTTGAGCAACAGGGGGCCACGTACGACGTGGTCCACTGTCTGTGTGTCCGTAGTCCCGAGCAGACCCTGAGGTGACTCCACCCCTCGCAGGCATTACACTTGACTGAGGTGGAGTTGTGGTGTAATCGTCTTCGGCATACACAGCAGGTGTATATTTCTGGCCCAGGGTTTGACTCGATGCCAGCCCTGAGTAGGAGAATGCGTAGTCAACAACCGAAGTCAGAAGCGCTATGTTGCGATGCATTATTTGCCGTAGCTAAAGGCGAAGCATGGTACATGGACTCGGGTGCCACGGAACATATGGCAAATCGTCGTGAGTTGTTTCGTACGTTCAAGGAGCTAAAAGTTCATCATCCAGTTAAAATCGGCAACGGCGAATTTGTGCATGCTTTTGGCGTTGGAGATATTGACGTTGAAGTCTACAATGGGCATAAATGGATTGAAAAATGCTTAGTAAATGTTCTGTATGTGCCAAAATTGAGCACAAACTTGTTTTCGCAAGGCCGCTGCACTGACAAAGGTTTCGTTGTAACTTCAGACTCAAAAAAGTGTGTGTTTAGGGATGGAAGTCGTATTGTCGCTATTGGGCTGCGAGAAACGTCATTATACAAAATGTTAATGAAAGCAAAAGTCTCAACAAAACTAATATCAGCGAATGCAAAACTTGCGGTGAAGGGAGAACACATTCGGTTGTGGCACGAGCGTTTGGCACATCAAAATGTAGCACATGTTCGTACATTTTTAAAGAAAAATGGCATTGTTTTTATAGATGAACAAAATTTCCAATGCAAAGCATGTATCGTTGGCAAAGCACATCGATTAACATTCAAAGGCCATAATAAAATAACAACAAAATGTTGTGAACTGATGCACATGGATGTGTGTGGCCCAATGCAGGTTGTTGTTGTTGTAACAGCATTCAAATTCCCCAAAGAGATTTTGGGGAGTGTTGCTGGAGTGACAGTCCTTGGCCAGATATAAATCTGGGTCGTTCCGGTTACGTAGACCCGACTGTCGTGGGAACGGCCCAATGCAGGTAAACTCGATCGGTGGTGCGCGCTATTTTCTCCTAATTAAAGACGATTATTCCCATATGCGATTCGTTTACTTCCTCAAAGCCAAATCTGAAGTGTCATTTAAAGTCAAATTGTTTGTCGAAACTGTTTATAATCAAACGGAACACAAAATTAAAAACATTCGGTCAGATAACGGAACAGAATTTGTAAACAATGATCTAAAAATATTTTTTGAAAGTAAAGCCATTAAACACGAGCTTACTGCTGCATATACACCAGAACAAAATGGTGCCATCGAGCGAGAAAACAGAACAATTGTGGAAGCAACGCGAACGATGTTAGGTCGGTGTTATGCAGACAAACTTTTGTTTGCCAAATTAAATGGCGGCTGCTTAGTTTGCTCGGAGGTGGTTATGTCGAGTTTGGCACAGGGTTGCACGTTCATTATGGTTTTCATGGCTATTGCCAACACGAAATGAGAATTTCAGATGTACATAACGCGCACAATTTAAAATTTTTGTATATGACAACACCGATTTTGCTGCAGTTTGACCAAACAAAATTAGTTTGCTGTGAGAGTCGCCAAACTCGCTCTCTCCGAGTTTGCTACAACAACAATTGCACGCAGTTTGCCAAACAAAATTTCTGCATAACACCAACCTTACATGCACACAAATTAGATTTAAGCCTGTGGGCTGAAGGTGTAAACACCAGCGTGTAAGTGCTTAATCGCACTGGAACGAGCTCAGTAAAAGAAAAGTCACCATGTCAGCTATGGTTTAATGAACAATTAAGCTTTCATCACTTCAAAATTTTTGGTACAGTGGTATATATGCATATTCCCAAACAAAAACGACTGAAACTAGACAAAAAATCAGAAGAGTGCTTGTTTGTTCGCTACGGGGATACCACATCGGGATATCGTGTCTACAATAGAACCAATAGAACAGTATCTACTGTTCGCGATGTGGTGTTTTCAAATGACAGTGGTTACAACGTGAACTTGCGAGGCACAGTTGCAGAAATAAATCAAACTGAAGTGGCAGTATGATTGAGTTTAGATGACAATGAGAATCTGGAACAAAGGAAAGGTGTATCACTTGACACAACATCAGTGGCAATTGAAGAAGCAGTAAATATCAATAATGGCCAAAGTGAAAGTGAAGATAGCACATGGTACGAAACCGAAAATGATACAGCAGAACAAGTACGAAACTTTTGCGACTTAACTCAATCGAATATTATTGAAAAGCGTTTACGCAATGAACCACAAGCAAATATTGTTTACAGCTGTGCATTTTTAACGACGAGCGAAGAACCGAATACCTATGCACAAGCTACAAATTCAGAGAATAGCAAAAAGCAATGCGCGCAGAGTATGACTCACTTATCGAAAATGGGACATGGGTGTTAGTCAATGCACCAAAAGGTCAAAAAGTTATTGATAATCGTTGGTTATATCGAATCAAGCGAAATCCTGACAACACAATTGATCGTTTCAAGGCCAGACTTGTTGCGAGAGGTTTCTTACAAAGCTACGGTGTCGACTACACGGAGACATTCAGTCCAGTAGTCAAATTTTCTTCGATTAGATCATTGCTGGTGACAGCAGCCGAACGAAATATGGTTATCAAACAATTTGATGTTAAAACTGCATTTTTGTACGGTGATTTAAGCGAGGAGGTGTACATGAAGCAGCCAACTGGTTTCAATGATGGATCGAGTCGAGTGTGTAAGCTGATTAAAAGTCTGTATGGACTCAAACAAGCTCCTCGATGTTGGAATGCAAAGTTTACAAATTTCATCTCAGAGTTCCAATTCAAGGAAACCGAAGCAGATCCATGTGAGACCACATTCTTAGCTCTATTTGTGGATGATGTGCTGCTTTTATCAGCAAGCAACGAATTCATTGAACCAGTTGTAAAGTACTTGCAGAAACATTTTGAGATTAAGAGGTCTGAGGCAAATTACTTTCTTGGCTTCGAAATAAATCGGATGAATGATGGCTCAATATTCTTATCGCAAGAAAGTTATGTTAAAAAATTGCTAAACACCTTCGGCTTTGACGATGCAAATTCGGTGTCAACGCCAGTCGATCATCAACAGGTTTTAGAGGGAGAAATGTTACTTGCTGCAGACAGTGATGCTGATTATGCTGGCTGTGCCGAAACACGAAAATCTACTACGGGCTACTGTCTTACGATTGGTGCGGGTATAGTTAGCTGGTGCTCAGAACGGCAATCAACTGTCTCCCACTCAACGGCTGAGTCTGAATACATTGCGGCATCACAAGCATCAAGAGAACTAGTATGGCTAAAGCGACTGCTATCACAGCTAGACGAACAGTTGAGGTCAGAGCAACCAGTACTTTATGTGGACAACGAAAGCGCTGTAAAGCTGATCAAAAATCCAGTCCTGCATAAAAGAACCAAACACATTGAAGTAAAATATCATTGTGTCAGGGAAAAATATAATGAAAAAGCTTTTATTGTAAAGGGAATACCAACTGAAAATCAATTAGCTGATATCTTTACTAAGCCATTGCCTAGAGCACGATTTGAATTTTTGCGATCAAAATTAAATGTTTTTCCAATCTCAAAATCATAACTCCTTAACTTTTTTATATATCTAACTTCTTTTATTAAACTTTTTAATTATTCGATTTATTACAAAAAGAGGGAGAATTGAAGCAACTCTGATTTTGTACTAAATGAAGTATACAGTACTAAAACAAATGAATTACCACACTGTTGTTAATCTAGTTAGTTCTCTATCAGCAATTAATAAAGCAACACATATTATTATTGTACTCCGCTGGTGTCTATTATTACTCTGCTCATCTGTTGCAAATATCATCGCCGCCCCTGTCATTTTGTACCAAACAAAAAAATATGCCATTAAACTCCGGAAAAGGAGGCGGGCCACACCCACTTTTTTCTCTAGCTCAAAGGTCAGTATTCTTTAGGTGTTCCAAAATTTGGCGCTAAATCGATGGATATAACGTAAATGATGTGTTTCTAGCAGTTTTCATTTGAAACATTTAATACTTTGATTACAAAAATACCACGATACTTTGCAAATCGCACTGATTTGAAATCGTACGGTTTGCAGAACATGCCGGTTATATATATACAGGGTGTCCCAGAAGTAATCTGCCAAACTTGAGGAGAAGGCATGTGGGGTGGTGAGCTCTCTGATAAACAAAAAATTTTCAGGTAAAAGTATCACCGTTTTTGAAATATTTAAATTTTTTTGAATTAAAGAAAAATCGTGCCTTTTCATGTATTTTCAATGTATTCAAATGTAATGCATTTAAAATATATTAAGGAACCATTATAAAATTAGGACTATATTGCGATTTTTAACTTTCTGATATTTTCTTCCCCAACTTTGACTTTGTCTGGTGAAAAAAAAATGTACTGAGCTATAACTTTACATTACATAAAAAAATTGCTCATTTAATAGATATTTCAGAAAGGTGCCGTTCTTACTATTTCGAATAAAAAAAAAAATATAGCCGCTTTTGTGGGTAAAGGACTGAGACACGCTAGAATTTATTTAATAGATTTAAATTTAAGTTGGTCTTGTTACCGACCAATGACATGCTAAATAGTAGAGTCCGACCGATTAATCGGCATCGGCTAGTATCGGCACAAAATTGAGCATCGGCATCGGCCTTATTTCGCCGATTCTTTGCCGATTCTTGGGAACTTCTTTACAAATGTTCAGGTGAAGCGACAGCCAACATTAAAAAACATTTGCAGACAGCTCACAAAAATGATTTTTTTTTTATTGAACGTGTTTCACGTTTTTTCCATACAAAAGTATGTGCGACAATTTTCTTTTATATGGAGAACACTGCCAGCAAAAAAAATTGCCAAAAATTAACGGGATTTTATAGCAGCTTGAAACTTGCACTTCATTATACTAGAATGAAATGGTCTACAAAACTGCATACCAAAATTCTGATTAAAAAGTTTGAAATTTTGGTGAAAATAAGCAGAATTTTTCTAATTTTTGTACAAAGTTTGAAATCTGGATTTATATGGTGTTTGTTGTATACCAGCTAGACTTTTATAAAAAAAATAATAAACATTAAATAAAAAAGACAAAATCGGTCAAAATATCGCGATTCTTTTATTTTTTGGACCACTATATGTATGTACATACATACCTAGCATATAAGTTCTTATGCATTGAGTGCAACAGAGTGTATTTTAGTACAAAACGAAATGAAATTTTATGTTCCTAAATATTTTTTGCTTAGCAGCATAAAAAAAGTGTTTTATGTAATGTACATAAATGTAATATATGTACATATATTTTTACACATACATATTTAGTTTGTTCGTTAATGATATATTTCGGACTTCTATGCACGCCAACATGCATGCCTAAGCGGACGATGTCCAGCTCTATATGTCAGGTCCTCTGGAGGACTCGGCTAATTTGTGCGCAAGCTTCAACAGAGAACTGATGTCTATAAGGACCTGGGCACAGTTAAATGGTCTTCGTCTTAATTGTGACAAGTGTTTTGTTTTACCAATTTGTAAGAAACGTCTTAACCTAGCAACTATTCCATCGTTACACATTGGTGGCAAACCAATTAAATTTGTGTCAAAAGTAACTAACCTTGGGTTTATTATCAACACTGGCCTTACCTGCATTGACCATGTGAATTCAACTGTAGGCAAAGTCTATAATACTTTAAGGAATTTACGAATGTCTGCTCCATTTACACCGATAGAAATCAGACGTAAACTCGCAATCCAACTTATAATGCCAATTATCTGTTATTCTGAGGTAGTCTGCAGCAGGTTAGATTCCCAATCAGCTCACAAAATAGATGTAGTATTTAACCAGATCACGCGCTATGTGTTTGGGCTAGAAAAATATGAACATATTTCCGCTTGGAGAACGCGCCTACTTGGCTGCGATATTTCTGAATATCCTAAAGCTAGAAATTGTGTATTCCTTTTTCGTCTCATGACAGATAAGGCACCCAAATATCTATATGAAAAATTAACGTTCCCCAAATCCACTTGAGTAAAGGACTTGACTGTTCCTACCTACAATTATCTCAGCTCTGCACGGCTATTCTTTGTCAATGCTATCCGCATCTGGAACTCTATTCCATCCCATATTCGCAGTGGTTTAAACAAAAGCAACTCTAAAAATGTTCTGTATGCATATTTCCGTTAGCTTCACTTCAGTCCCTGTGATGTGCTCTCTATGTACTTGTTTAATTAAGTCTTATTTTAAGTATATGTACTGGAATTGTAGAACTCACTTAAAATACTACTCTGTTAATTATATTATGTTACCTTTATTTAGTCTTAAGTAAATTTTGCTGTTTTAGTTATATGTATGTACTGTTATGAATTTTTTCGTTGCGCTATAAAAGATCATTCTTTTGATCTTATTGGGCTAATGATTTTATTAATAAATGAAATGAAAAAATATGTATATATGTACATACATGTGTATGTAATGTTGCATAACAAGCTAATTAACTCAATTATTTCTTATCTTTTTTTTTTTTTAACTACGTGAAATGAACTGATTTTATGAATTAATTAATTTGTATTTTTTTATGGAATCGGCATCGGCATCGGCCGATTCTTTCCCCATAAGCCGATTAATCGGCATCGGTACTTGAAAAAAAATTGGAATCGGTCGGACTCTACTAAATAGTACAAAGGTACATTATTACCTGCTCCTGACATTATTTTGTGTTACTTACCGGAAATAATGAAAGTGGATTTTGTGGAATTGGACCCTTCGAACATTGTGTTATTAATACTATGACAGAGAACATGCAATATACGTCGCATGAATATGCGGATATTCACCTAATTTACGGTGAAGCTTGCTGTAATGCTAGAGCTGCTCAAAGACTTTATGTAGAGCGATAACCCAATCGTCGGCATCCGGGCCGTGAAGTATTCGCCCGGACCCATAGAGAAATATATGAAGGTAAGTGATTTTTACACCTTTCTTGTTTGAAGACATTCTTTTTTTAACTATCATTTTTAACTTTTTTAAGGTCGCATACCTGGAAGGCGTGACGGCGAGACAGGACGTCCTGCAACGGTAGATGTTAAAGTTGTGTTAGAGGAAGTGGAACTAGGTCCATCGACTTCAGGGAGAATGATAGAAAGACGGACTGGAATACCAAAACCTACAGTTCACAAAGCTTTAAAATACCATCCCTACCACATTCAACGTGTTCAGGCTCTACAAGAGAGAGATTACCTGTCGAGGGTTAGATTTTGCAGTGAAATGTTGCGAATGCATGATTCAGACCCCAACTTTTTTAATAAAATAATTTGGAGCGATGAATCATCATACAAACGTGATGGTTATTTTAATTTACATAACCTTCACAGTTAGCAGATAGGCAATCCTCACGAAATGAGATAAGATCGTTCGCAGTACCAGTACAAAATAAATTTATGGTGCGGTATTTTTAATTGTCAGATATTGGGACCTGTGGAACTGCCGCCAACGCTCAACTCCCACATTTATTTAAAGTTCCTTCAGGAAAGGCTTCCAACTCTTTTAGAAGATGTACCCCTAAACCTGCGTCGAAGACCATGGCAGCAAAAAGACGGACGTCCTGCTCACTACGGGCGTGAAGTAAAAGCTCATTTAGACGAAACTTATCCTCGCCGATGGATTGGACGATACGGACCAATCACATGGCCTGCTCGATCGCCAGACCTGAATCCATTCGATTTTTTCTACTGCGGCTGTCTTAAGGACAAAATTTATTCAAAACCAATTCAAAACGAAGAGCATTTGCGGGAACAAATAAATGGAGCTGAGATGCTGAGATAGCCTAATTGAGTTAAAGATCTCTAAAAGCGTCTTTTCTTAAAAGGTGCCGAGCTTGTATTAGAGTAGAAGGTCGCCAATTTGAGCATATTTTATCAATAAATGAATAAATTTTTCTGCAAACAACTCATGTATGTTTTATTTCACGTGAACCCATTGTAAAATAGACTAAACCAGATTCGCAATTAAGATGTTGTTTTATTTAAGTAAAATTTGGTTTTGGTCTACAAACTATTACATCAACCGCGATTGGCGCGAATTACAGAAAACCGCGTTAGGCGCGGGTTTATGTGGTATGTTCTCGTCGGCTTTTGCGCTGCGAATGACTTTGAACAATTAAAGGACAAATATAGGACAAGTAAAATATAAGTAAATAAGTAATTAAATAAATGTTCGAAAATGACATAGCGGTAACATAAAATTATCTGGTGCTGCCGGATGGATGTTGTAGTTGACATGTAGGTGGCGGTAACATCCCACCCCCCGGCGAATCCTAGTGGGGATTCGCAAACTCCAGAGCGGCTAGCTTCGAGGCTGGACGACGAATAGTTCCACCACTGGTTTGTACCGTGGCGCTTCTCACTTGACCGTTGTTGTTGTTGTTGTTGTTGTAACAGCATACAAATTCCCCAGAGATTTTGGGGAGTGTTGCTGGAGTGACAGTCCTTGGCCAGATATAAATCTGAGTCGTTCCGGTTACGTAGACCCGACTGTCGTGAGAACGCTCACTTGACCGTCTTTCGCTTTAATGACTTCGGTGATGCGGCCGGTCTGCCACTGGCCTCGTGGCAAGTGCGGGTCGCAAACCAATACTAGCTGTCCTGGTTGAAGAGGAGTAGCTTCTTTATGCCATTTTGAACGCGTCAGAAGTTGTGGTAGGTACTCGTTGATCCATCGCTTCCATAAGCGATCTTTTAAGTTTTGCGCGATCCTCCACTGCTTTCGGAGGCACACCTTCTCGTCGACATCGCCAGGAGTCTGCGTAGAATTGAGGCCTCCCAGAAGAAAGTGGTTTGGAGTCAGTGGTTCCGGGCTCTGTGCCGACAACGGTATGTCTGTCAACGGGCGACTGTTGACAATGTTTTCGGCTTCAGTGATCACGCTACAAAAGGTCTCCAGTCGAGGGGCCTCTTCCTTTAATACACGATGAAGGATTCGCTTGTCACACTGAATCAGGCGTTCCCAGCACCCACCTTCGGCTGGATTGGCTGGACAACTGAATTTCCATTCGATCCAGTCCCTTGACGTCTCACGTTGAATAGCTTCAAAATCGAAAATTCTCTCGTCTTTTGCCAAGTCGTGTTGTGCTCCAACAAAGTTGGTCCCGTTATCGCTTCTTATGCGAACTGGTACTCCCCGGCGGTTCACGAAATTTCGCAAACAAAGCAAGAATGCGTCGGTTGAAAGATCGACTGACACTTCGAGATGAATCGCTCTTGTGGTTAGGCAGGTGAAGACGGCGATCCAACGCTTCTCACGACGTCGACCAATGCTGACGAAGAACGGGCCGCAATAATCAATTCCGGTATAGGAAAATGGGCGGACGTATGGCGTTAGACGATCGCGTGGTAACTGACCCATCAAAGACGTGGTCGGCTTGGCCGACTGACGTACACACACTGGACATCCTTTTATTACAGCTTTCAGTACGGCATGTGCATGTGGCACCCAAAAGCGCTGACGCATTTCATTGATCGTTAACCTGTTGTTTTGGTGATGATTCTTTCGATGAAGGACAAGAGACGCAAGGCGATGTCTCTGCGGTATAATAATTGGACGGCGTGTACACTCTGGCAGACAGTATGCGGCATCGATTCTGCCATTTATACGCAAGATCCCATCCGGATCTAGTTTTGGCGTCAGTTGAAATAGTGGGCTCGACGTCGGAAGACACTTGTTCGCACGTAGTGTGTTGATCTCATTGCCATAGACTTCGTTTTGTGCTTGACGACATATGTAATTTTCCGCGGCTACCATCTCACTCGGCACTAACTCACCTCCTTGGCGTGATTCAGACTTTAGTTTGCGTATAAAACGTAAGATCCATGCTACCACTCGTAGTAGCCGTGTATAATATGAGAACTTGTTGATATCGATGGCATTTTGACGATTATGTGCGACTAATGTCCTCTTTATACATTCTTCTTCAACGATGTTTGAGTGCAGTTGCTCTGGTTCTTCAGGCCAGTTCTCTTCTTTGGATCGCAAAAATGTGGGACCTGTCGTCCAGAGAGAGTCTGTGCGTCACATTGGCGACGACTTGACCTTGGTAGCTTCATCCGCCACGTTGAGCGCTGAGGGCACCCATCGCCATTGACTAGGACTGGATGTGGCTAGTATTTCCGATATACGGGTTGAGACAAACTGCTTAAAGTCTCGCGTAGTTGACCGGATCCATAACAAAACGGTTCTCGAATCGCTCCAAAATGTAACGCTATCTATGCCTCGGTCAAGGCACCTTTCAACTGACAGTCGAAGACGGTTACCCAATATGGCCGCTTGCAGCTCCAAACGCGGCACTGTTGTTGCTTTTTAGGGAGCGCATCTCGCTTTAGCTGCTACAAAGGCGACTTGCACGGTGCTGCTGGTCAACATCCGGAGGTATACAACAGCGGCATAGGCGGTTTCGCTTGCGTCGACAAAGACATGAAGCTGAAGACCGTCGGCGGTGGGATATAACGGTGAGTAGCAGCGAGGTATGGAAAACTTGCGAACTTTTTGGAACATTTGCCACCATGTTACCCATTGCGACGAGAGCGGTTCCGGTAAATAGTCATCCCAGTCGATGCCTTGTCTCCAGGTCTCTTGTAGTAGCAGCTTTATGGGAATGGTGACGTTGGCTAGCAGGCCAAACAGGTCATAGATGGTCATGGCCAAGCCTAGTAGCTCTCTTTTTGTAGGTGACCTCTTGCCATCTGTATCTCGGTATCTTCTGGAACCTAAAATGACACTCCAGCGTGTCATTGGTGGAATTCCAATACATACCCAAGATTTTGTCTGTTTTTGGCTGACGTTCCATGCTGATGACATCGGACTGCACTGCTGAGTCGTTGTTGTAGTTCCTTGCAGTTGGAAATGAAGTTCCGTAGATTTAACCCGGCGGCTGCGTTTATTGCTACTGCTTCGTCAACCACCTCCTTGGCTTCGTTTGGGCTATCGAAGCTAGCAACAAGATCATCAACATATGTGTTTTCGGTGACGACTCTTACTCCCCTGGGCATTGTTTCCCGAAAGTTGGCGGCGTTGATGTTCTTTACGTGTTCTGCGCAGCATGGCGAACCAGCTGCACCGAAAATCATTCATCATGTAAACTTGAATGGGCTCATTTTGATCTCCATCCCTCCATAAAAATCTTTGGGAATTCCTGTCACCCTGTCGAATCTTTATTTGCAAAAACATTTCTTCAGTATCTCCGGCCACAGCAGTTTGGCGTTGGCGAAACTTATGCATTATATTCATAAGCGGTTGTGCACATTCGGGACCTTTCAGTAGGAATGTGTTTAGTGAAACGTTGGAAACTGTGGCTGCTGCGTCGAAAACTACGCGGAGCTTATTTGGCTTGTGGGAGTTAACCACTCCAAAGTGCGGCAAGTACCAGGTGGCAGGGCTCTCTTGCATTGCTTCGGCTTCTGATAGTAACTGGGCATACCCTTTGGCGATGTATTTTCCAATAGCTGATCTGTACATCTCAGCATATAGGCTGTCGTTTGCCATTTTCCTCTACGTTAAGCAATCTTCGCTTAGCCATCTCGTAGCTGTGAGGTAAGGCGACGTCATCCTCGCGCCACAATAGGGCCACTTCGTAACGCTGGCCAATATTTCGCGTCGTAGTTTCGAGGATTGTCCTATCTCTGGTGTCGTCATCGGATTCCAACGGTCTATCTGGTATCTTCACGGCTAAACTTTCTATACTGAAATAATCATCGACCAGTTGATGAAGCTGCTTCGTTGTAAGCGACCTTCGAACATGAAGACATTGGACTGCACTGGCTGACGGTGCTGAACCATAGGCTACCCATCCTAACTTGGTAGCGGCTGCTATTGGCTCATGAGGACCAGCATGTATTGTCCTTTCGGCCATACTTACATGACTGTTGTCTAAACCGATCAGTAGCGACGGTTTTACGGCAACATAACTCGATATTGGCACGCCTTCAAAATGACTATATTGGTGGCGATGAAATGTCTGCACTGGCAAATCCAACTCCTTGACGGTGCGTATATTCTTCAGCTGGTACCATGTTTTCGACTGGGCTCCGCGGACGTCCAGATTGAATACGCGCGATTCTTCTGTTGTGTGATTTTGGTTGTACCACTGTAATCTTAGCGGCTCAGCCCGACCCTTGACTCCGATCGCGTTAGCTTCCTCCAACAGCGTAACCGTAACCGTGACCCTTCGTCTAGCAGTGCATACACTTTCATGCTGGCTCCGGGCCCCATCAAAATAACTGGTAAAATTTTGAAAAGGCAAGTACCGTGTTTACTATCGGTGCAGTTCAGCAAATGTTCATTTCTACTTTGCGGCTCGGCGATAGGCTGAGCTGGCGTTATCGGGCCGAAATAGCGGCCAGTCTTCTGGGTCGCCATAAAAAACTGGCAACGGATGTAATTTGACGCAAAAAATTTCGGTGTAGTAAGGTGTTAAGGCAGGCGACGTATTCTCTGATGGCTCCGTTGGCATAGCTTGCGACGGCAGATGATGTTGTGCATTCGGTGCTGGCGTTGACTGCTCCGACGGCAGAGCATTTAATGACGTCGACAGAATTCTGACTGAAGGCGGCAGTGACTGACCCTGCAGCGTATACGTTGGCGGCGGCTGCGCGATCGACTGACGCAGCGGCATGTTAGTTGATGACGTCGGCAGCGACTGATCCTGCAGTGTATAATTTGACGGCTGCGCTATCGACCGACGCACAGTGTATCATTTCCATATTCTAGAAAAGATTAATTCCATTATTTTGTGTCGCCAAATTTGAAAACAACGTCAAGAATGTTTTTAGAAATGCCTGATAAATACGAAACAATAACAACTAAACAATTTTAATCAAAGTGTATGGCGGGACGGGGTTTGATTTGGAAAATTACCGAGCACAATAATATTTAAACTTTTATATTTGAAACTGAATCTCAATGTTTATTTTGTCGGTGTTATGTGATTTATGCAACAATTACTAAAATACCATTTTGGTCTTATTTGCTTGGGTATGTTCTTTTTAATGAATATACATTTTTGGGATTTTAGTAAACTAGGACTGAGTATTCCTTGTTAAAGTAAAACGATGTTAACTTAAATTTATTTTTAGCAATTTATTAATTTCATTAGACCCGCAAACTCGTTATCCGCCACTATTCGATAAAGTTTGTATCTCAGTTTATTTGCCACTCCTCTTAGACTTTAAATAACATAATTTTAGCTGCTGGAAAGTGCAGGTTTTGATGAAATTTTCTTTTTTCTGGCCTACTGGGAATTTCATTTTCTTCGAGTAATTCATTTGCATTTTATCTCGACCGAGACAAATTCTTATATTTTCGTTTTGAATAGAGAAAGCCTGATTCATTACCTTCCCAATGGTATCCCATTTTTGTAAATAGAGTAAGAAATATTGAACTTATAACGGAATTTTGTTGACCCAACTTGACTTTTTTATCGATATTTTCCACGCCCATAATTAAAAAAAATATATATTTATTTTAAGTCCATTTCTGTCAGTTTATAATTTCTTGTTATAGGGAAATTCTAAATATTAATTTTGGGCATTTTAGCCTTTGTAGTTAGTTAAATATTTCAGTTTTTGCATTTTTAAAAATTTGCAGTTATATAATAGGGTGGCATGACAGTAACTATAAATTACCAATTTTTTGTCAAAAGCTTAGCCTATCTTATAACGTACCTTGGGCAAAATTTCATTAATCTATCTTCAATAGATTTCGAATTACAGAATTAAAAGCAGCTAGATGGGTCAAATCTTACACTGTGCGACGTAGCGGCATGTTGGTTGATGGCGTCGGGTCGTTAGGCGCGGGTTTTATGTGGTATGTTCTCGTCGGCTTTTGCGCTGCGAATGACTTTGAACAATTAAAGGACAAATATAGGACAAGTAAAATATAAGTAAATAAGTAAATACATAAATGTTCGAAAATGACATAGCGGTAACATAAAATTATCTGGTGCTGCCGGATGGATGTTGTAGTTGACATGTAGGTGGCGTTAACACCCATCCTTCACAAAAAATATTGATAGATATAGCCCTTCTTATTGACTCTAGTCCGAATCCCGGTAAGTAACATAAAATAATGTCAGGAGCAGGTAATAATGTACCTTTGTACTATTTAGCATGTCATTGGTCGGTAACAAGAGCAACTTTAATTTAAATCTATTAAATACATTCTAGCGTGTCTCAGCCCTTTACCCATAAAAGCGGCTATAACTTTTTTTATTCTATTCGAAATAGTAAGAGTGGC